TCACTACGTCCAAACAGAGATGATCAGGTAATTGTTTCTAACACACAGGGAAAAATGGCACTCATGGATCTTCGTAAAGGCCAAGTGGTTCATATATTCAAGGGATTTGCTGGTGGAATTCGTGATGTTCAGTGCCACTCGTCAGAACCTCTTGTTGCCTCATGTGGACTCGACCGATTTCTTCGCATTTATGATATAAATACAAAGCAACTTATGCATAAATTTTATCTTAAATCAAGACTGAACTGTCTAATCTTTGCTAATAAATTATCAATAGAAGATGAAGGACAGGGCGAGGAAAAGGAGTCTGGGATTTTGAAGGATAGTGGAGAAGAGCAAGCTTATGAAGCAGATCATGGGGATGAAGCTGTCTGGAACAAATTGAAAGTTGTTCAAACTAAAACAATTAGAAAACAAAAGAGGCAAACATATGCAAATGAAACTTCAGTGAAAGTGAAGAGAAAGACTGGTGAAAAAGAGGATTCAACAGAAAGGAAAAAGTTAAAGCGGAATAAGAAAACAAATAAATCAGTTTAATCCCTACCCCAACCAAGAGTTTCAAAATAAGCCAGATTTATTGTTACCATAAAATGTTATTTGTAAAATAATTAGCACAAGAAAATATAGAAAGCTAAATATAAACTTTGCAAAGCCTCTTCAAAAATTCTTAGTCATTAATAAATCCCACAAGGTCAGTTTTACATTCTTTCTTCATTACAAAAATCCATTAATAGGACTGCATATTTATGGTTGCAGGAGGTAATAACGACATGCATTGGTTAATTTTTATTTGCTTCATGAAGTGGTATATCTTATACGCATTGATGTCTGCAATTACAAGTTCATTTACGGTTTCAAACTGATTTTATACAGAAAATACGCAAATATGGCTGTTAAAATTTCCATTTATTAAAATAAGATTAGAAAATGCTTTTCACCGATCATAGTTTTAAAAGCAAATTGCTATTTGCATATTATTGTTTAAATTTTGAAACAGAATTTGGTATATTTTCATCATATCACAGTAGACTCAACTTCATGAACTCAAACAGATATATTGCTCCAGAAAAGGGTTAATGGTCAGTTAGCTACCAAAACTTGCATGTGAATGTGCATAAAAATTTTTGTCTCTGTAAGCTGATTGGTGTCAACACTTATGTAAATACATTTGGTCATGGGTTACAACAGTGTCAGAACTTACTGGCTACAGCAAGAAGGGTTTCTCAAAGTCGTAATCTACAGTTATTTTACATCTAAAAAAATCAGAGGATGGTGTCATTTTCGCTTTCTTAACAGAAGATGGCAAAGTTTATGCTTCTCAGGTGACTTTTTCGCCCACTTCGCCTGACCGTTGATACATATCTGTAAGATGTAGATGTAATAAACAGATAGGGGTAAAAGTTTTAATTTGAATCATTTCATTCAAATGGCATAATTTGAGCTATTGTGTAGTGTACATGTTTATAAATTTGTTTATAATGCAATTAAATTTTAATGAGAAACATTTGAAACAAGGGCATGCAGTAAATTTGCATCAATCTTTTAACTTTCCTCTATCATAACATTCATTGTATAATCCTATTTGATTTCAGAAGTAGTTTATAAGTTAGAGAGACTGTTTTATAAAAAATATAAAACACTTGAGCTGAAATGAAGAGCAAATTTTTCTAATGAGATGGATTTGAATGTATTTAATAGAATTTGAATACACTGTCAGTAAAGGTATCCAGTCCATTTTCTTTTCTCTGTCTACTTTATTTATTGTCATCCCCACTACCAGTCAAGTGACACTGCAAACAGTTAAGCTAGTCATATATACTTGCTTATATTTCCAGTCCAACCACAACTGCACACTCAGATCTGCCACTTTATAGTGTGCCAGCAGATCTGAATGCAGTTTGATTGGAGTAATCAGTAGAATAAACAGCATAGACCCTGATCTGCAAGCACATTATGTGATAGCAGATCAGAGTCTGCATTGTTTGTAGTTGGACTCAGTTTATAGAGGTGTCTATTCAGTAGACTAACTTTATTTACTACATTGCCTGTGTTGTTTGGTTTAACATTTGTTATTCATTAATGTATGATTATAACTGCAACACTGCAGACATTGTAGTAATATGACCAAAAACTGTTAAAGCTAAGTTAAAAATCTGAATCACACACACACACATTCCAAAGATTAAAAATATTGCAAAGTTTAATAAGAAAAAGTAGAGCGTATAATGCATTATAAATTTCAGTTCAAGAAATTCAACTTTATGATATCAGGTGTTCAAAAAGGTTTCATGTCAAGACCACTTTTCATTCTAAATGCCCATCTTATCATACTTTTTGCAAAGGTTCACATGACTCTGTGCAATTCAGACTGGTCTGTCTTAGATCTGAGGCCAAAAAGTCTAAAATCCGGACACAAAACTGGATCACAACCTTGGGCGAATTTCGGCTGGAAAAATCTCTGGTCCAAAAAGTGACATTTTTCCTCTGTATTTTATAGTGCAACTAGAACATCCATATTATTTGGTATCATCGTAAAGCTACATCTGTCTACCATTCTATAATACCACCCACTTTATTATGTCACACATGACCTTAACACTACAGAGCTCAGAAGTAGGCTACCACCTCCTGCCCCATAAATGCGGTGCTAAGTGTTAATGAGTTAATATAGTATTAAACTGCTAACACAACAGACACCAAAATTTTGCTTTGTGGTTCTGCATGGCCCACATGCCTCACATGCCTATGCCTAAAAATGGCAGTGACCATCTTGTCAGACTGAAGCGCCTATTTGAGAACCTTTTATAAACAAAGTATTAAGATTTTAACACCAAATAAAATTGACTTAATGACTGATATATTCAGTCTTTGTCTACAGAACTGAATACATTCATTATTTCCAATTTTGTCAGTTAGGAACTTGAGAGTGAAAGCAGACAGCAGCTTGTCTGAAAACTATCCACAACAAATTTGGTATTACATTGTCAGTGACTCTTCTTGACATCCAAATTAACAACTGCTCATTATGTTAAATACTTTTTGATCTAGAATAAAGATTATGCATACTGCTAAACAAAATACAGAAAAGAGCAGATAAATGCATCAAAATTTCGGCAATAAAAAACAACTATGCATTTTTGCTGATTACATCATATTCATGATGATGACAGTTTTGTGTCAACAGTTGTCTTTTTCCTGTTGAGGAGGAGAGTTCAGTTTTAGAATTTATTCAAGACCACAAACTTGGACATTCTGAGTAATGATAAATGTAATAAAAAAATCCTGATGTCATAACACAGAATGGGGAGCAGATTGGAAGGTCTTGCTCCAGTTACACGCATCATTAGTAAGTTTGAAACTGCGCATATCAGATCATAAATCAAACTTGACATACCAACAAGAACTTAATCAAAATTGATTGGGGCTGGCTCTTCAGTACTTCCAAACTAACTTACAATCTGTCTAGACCCCAAATATGATGTATTGCTTCAGCCAAAATACCAAAACCTAAACATTCAGAAGCCAAACTTCAATTCATTTGTTGGCATATGAATTTGTCCTCACTGAGAAACAGGAAAAATCAGTTTTGGAAATATTGCAGAATAATCTATTCTCAAGTCATCAAAACATAATAAAATAATCATTGACCTTTGTGAACTCATGTCTTCAAGAAATCTTCTCCTCTGAGTAAATTAAATGAAATCAGAGCCTCATAACTTAACTATATGTACCTGTAAGTAGACAATTCAAATGATGGAGACAAAGCTTGAGCTATCATTGCAACTGTAGCATCTTGAGCTTATAATATGGCACCATCTTCAGCTGCTTACCAATTAAACCAAAATTCTTACTTCAGAAATTACTGACAAATTTAAGAACTTTACAATCACATTCAAACCACCACAAACACAAAATAATCATCTTTTCAGATTCCCTTTCCACCTTAAAAGTCTTGCTGAAACTTAAACCCAACATTCCTTTACCATTCTAGATATTACATACACATGCTGTTCTCATATAGTCTGGGAAAAGTATTCTTTGCTTTTATTTGCCAAATCACACTTAGATAAAAGGCAATAAAAAGAACAATAAAGTTTTCTTGCAGTTACCAGTTCCGGAATGGAAGATTTCATATACTAACTTGAAATATTGCACAAATTAGTATGTTTGTCATAACTGGCAGGACAGGTGGAATAAAAACTATGATCTTGAGAACATAAAACCCAGTCTTGGAGGGTGGCATCACTTGCATAAATCAAAGATATGTGTTGGTATTGTGCCAAAAGCATACCAGACTCGTACCAAACTCAGACACAAGTTCTAAATGGTAAACCTTGACTGGAGTTACAATGCAGCACAATCTTTTCAAGTTTGTAAATTTTCACCATGTGAGACATATGTATTTGCAGTGAAGTGCTTGAAGAAATGTTATGAGTGTTTATCAACTGAGGAAACCTTGGAATGCAATAGGGAATGCAGTTTATATAAAAAGTTTTGATCATGCTTTAAGGACTTTACACGAAAAACCATAATGTTAGTTTATATAAATTTTTATGATATTAGCACTTAAACATTTTATATTTATCTTGTATTAAACTATACATTTATATGGAAAGCTTTTTCTTTCTAAATTGATATGCATTTCTGTTTTACCTTTCTCAAATTTGACATTTTGTTGGCACTACTATTAAAGCCACTTTTGTGCCTAGTTGCTCGTTTTGGATAAAATTAGCTTTCAAGTTGAATCCATTTAGAGTTCAATATCGATCTGTTCACTGTTAGCTTGAATAGAGCAGACCTCAGTAGCACTTAATTTGCTAGTAATGTTTCAGTGCTCGTTATTGTCATCATTGGCGGTTTGCAATGTTTTTGTTTGGTCAAGTGTTTATTAATTAAATGGCTTCCACAGCTGCAAACCCAAATTTTAAAAAAAGCAGTTTACGTATACCAGTCAATAACTTCTGCGTTTAGTGAAATTTTTACTAAGAAGAATTTCAACCGCTCCAGTGGCCTAGTGGTTAGAGCGTCTGCCTCAGATGCGGGAGATCGTGGGTTCGATCCATGGTAGAGTTATACCAAAGACTTACAAAAATGGTACTAACAGCTGCCTCGCTTGGCGCTCAGCATTAAGAGGTTAGTGTTAGGACTGGTCGGCCTGGTGTCAGGATAATGTGACTGGGCGGGACATCATGCTACATGTCTGTGGCATGATGCCCCAGTGCTAGACATCATTATAAACTGCCACACTGCAGACATTGCAGCAGTATGACTGAAAATTTGTTAAAGCTACGTTAAAAATCATAATCACATCACTTAGAAGAATTTCAGCATTTTCTAGGTAACCAATGTAGTATCCGCTGGTATTGGATACTTTCTGTGTGTTTATCTAAAAATGAATGTATCAATATCCGTGTTGATCCAACAGTGTCTTTGTTTATGTTTATCTTTCACAACCTAATCCCCTCTACCCTCCTATCCTTTTAGATTTTAATAGTATATACTTATTATAGAGTGTTTGAGGATACCTGTCATTTTTCATTCCTTACACTTTATGGGTGATATTTAGTATCTAAATAAAAAATTATGTTGTATGTGTGAATATTTGTTCTGTTTAGAATTCACTTATTTGATATTAAAGTGGTAAAGGGGATTTTTAAAAGTTTTTTTTTTTTACAAGATGATGGCAGGGAAGTGAGGGTGACATGGGTGGTTTCGTTTATTGGGGTTTTCCTTCTAGTTCATCTCTGTTTACATCATGCTCTTCATAATTGTAGTTCATGGTAAGTAGGTGTGGGAGCTGATAAGTAACACCTGTCCCAATTCGATACACTATCAGTGTATTTCTGTGTGTATCTTGTATGAACTATGTGATGAACCAAACACTGACTAGCTCAGCAAAGCCATATATAGTCCTGGGAAGGATGGCACACCATCAAAAGTTGTACAATGTTATGAGAATGATAATATGCAAACACCTCCATGAGATGTTAACATGATCACTCTCTACAAATACAAAAGGCAATAAGAGCGATTGCAACAGCTATCTTTGACATTCCTTGTGGAGCATCATGGGAATGGTGCAAAGGTCTCATTAGAAATTTAAAATTAGGAGTCCAGGACTCCTAGTTTGGTAAAAATAACAGTCCCACCAGCAAAACTTGCAGCCCCCACTAAGCCAGACATCACATACTTTCTCACACTTGGCTACTGTTGCATCCGAACTATCAGTTCTAGCAACTTGAACACAGTTCTGAATCTCATTGAAATTTTCATCATTTTTCCGTTTAACGCCAAATATTTGTCTAAATTTGCAAATGGCATTTTGTCCATGTCTCTTGATTTCGAGTTCACAGGCAATATTTATACAGCAACAACGGGAAATGAAATCAATAACAGTGATCGTGCTGGGCTTCACCAATGTTGCAAATTGTGATTCTGTTTTACATATTGGTGACAAAATATAACTACTGGCAAGATTTTGGGTGACATTTTCCGTTAATAAAAACAGTATATACAGTCCTACTCTTTTTTGGGGGGTTAGTAGGTGTAAGTGTTGGTCAATAAACAAGAAAATGAAATGATGTGTTGAGGAGCAGGCATGTTTGTCAGCTTGAAGGCAATTTCGTTAGTAGGTATATGTGAACACTTACCCTATTCAGCGTTCTTGTGTTTGCTTATACATGTAACGAATAGTCTGCAAGTTCTGCATATTATCAGGTGTGGGTGCCGATCAGGTGGTATTGATAGTATTTGCAAAACTCCTGATCCCTTGTTTAATAGGTAGATACTAATCACTCACCACATTGGTTAGTATGTATGTGTGTGAAAATTCTTATCTTTTTCAAGGTGATAGTATGCTTATGTATAGGCATTCAAACATTTCACCGATTAGGTGTATGTGTTGTATACATGCCAACCATTACGCTTTTGACAATCTTTACACTTTTTTCCACTAAATTACGCCATATGCATAAACGCCATATGCATAAACGTATCTGGAAACGAGTTTTCAGCATATCCCACTCCAAAACAAAATTATCGTAATTTGTTTTCTCATTTTTATTAACATGCAAATAATTCCACAAACTGTATTCTAGAAAAGATGGCTCCAACCTAATTACGAGATAAGAGTATGCTCATGTGTAGACTGGCATGCACTTTCCTAATGATGTTTTGTTCTATTTTTAGCAGCTGCCCTATTTCCAAGAATGGACCTAGGTTTTTGTTTATAGCAGCAGTTTGGCTAGGGAGAGAATAGACTGGTTTTCTAATTTGTAATCTTTGCTAGCAGATTCTTAGTTCTCTTTCATATCAGGTACATAACCAGTCTGTAGTTATTTGGCACTAAAAGTCAATGCAGATTTATTCTAGTTGATGCGCATGTTCGAAGCAAAAATGTATTTTTCAAACAAATGGGAATATTGCGACAGACTAGCTCATTTTACTAACTCCAATACTAAGAACCTTTTTTTTACAGCAGAGCTCATTTGTGGAAAAAAAAATTTTATAAATGAAGAGGCATTATTTACAGAGCTCTTAATAGAATATGTACTATCCCTAGCAGTAGAAGACTGTTGGTCCTTTGTTCAAATGTTTCCACATTCCAAAATTACCAAATATATGCATGTGCAAGAAGAAAATCTAATAATGTTAGGTATTTAGAAGATGTTGAATCACTTAAAATTGCAGAGGCCATGAACATTGGGCTGTCTGACAATACCTCAGACAGGAGTAGTGATTATGAGGACAAAGTTTTACTCGCACTGTTTAAGAGACTGTGACAATGGAAAGGGCAAAGTCAGAGTGCTTTTCTTTTATTACCAGAATTATTAGTAGATTCCACTGGAGAAAACATTTTTGATTTGCTTGATGTTTTGAATAAACATAAGTTGGCAGAATTGTATGCGGGTTTCAGCTGATAATGTGCAACATATGAAAACTTAATGCAATTATTTGTTAAAAGACTGTAGAGTTATCATGCTGGGGTCCTGAGTGGCCTAAAGCGCTGTTACGGAACACTGCCATCTCACCTCTGCATGTGTTCGAGTCTAGGATTCCTCGAATGTGGATATGTGAGAAAGCTTGCCAGTAGGTTCTCGTGGATCGGTGGTTCTTTCCGGTGATTTCTTCCTCCATCATTAATACTGGCCGACATGAATAGCTTATCGTGTGCTGAAAAATGGCATTAAGTCCAACAACAAGTTATAATGCTGATTGTTGATTACTCTTTCTGCTCAGATTACTCTTTTTGTCCACTCACTTGGATTACACGTTTTCCTCCCCACGGCTTGGCATGTATGGTGTTGGTCAGTTGGACGAGTTGGTGCATATCAATAAATATAGGTTAGAAAGACAGTGTAATTATAATGCTAATTCTTTTTTAATTGCCTTCATGTAAATCATGTGGATAGTTTTACCATCACATCAACCATAATCTCTATAATGCCATTTAATGTCAATCCTAAAGGAACACTACACTTGTCATAATCACCCTAGTGATGACCATCTGAAGAAATGCTACTGCATAATCTGAAAAAAATATCAAACTCGATAAAACACCATAAACTTATAAAATCGCATCTTTCTACCTTTTCCTATTCACTATTTGTATATACCTCAAAACCGTTCCTTCTACAGCCATGACATTTGTTGAAGTGGAAAAGGTACATTTTATAAAATTTGAAGACAACTGAAAAATCAACTGGAACAAATTTATATGGAAAATAAAATTTTAGCAAAGCTCTAGTTTATAGCTTTTATAAAATATGATGCTGAAAATTTTAAAGTCTTGCAGATGTATAATTTATGTAGTTTTTAGTTAAATTATTATATTGAAATATCAACGCACAATATGCAAATTTGTTTAGTGATTTTATTTCATGAAAAGTGTTTTTAATAAAGGTGTACATGGTTATTTTTGTAATCTTATTAATTATCATTGAGAGTCAATGTTTAAGTTGAAATAAATAACTGACATTTATCCCTATGCATCTTTTAGAAAGATGGCGATTGTGTTCTCCTGCCTGCATGTTTATTTCTCCATCCAGTAGTAACATTGTAGGAGATACACTTGGAACTCTGGAACAAGATTTGAGGTAGCCTTTAGATGTACACACTGGTTACAAATTGATGGGGATTTGTTGTTGTTTCTTTTAAGTATTGCAGGCTGAAATATAAAGTTTTTGCCATCTAAAGGCCAGGGCATGAATTAAACTCTCTTGGCTTGCCCATGGATAGTCCCTGTCGGTATGTTTCCCAGGGTCAGTAACTATGGATGAATGAAGGACACAAGGCAGAAATAGACCAGTATATCCAATACAGCCAATGGGTCATAATCCTAGGTTGTGTACTTGCATCCCCCCTCCCAGTCATCATATAGAAACAGCTGAGATCCATAACTTGTAACCATATGTCTAGTACAGACCCTAAGAATAGAGACTTGCTCTTGGGTGATCACTTGGAATCTGCCGAGGTCCCCAGCCTACAACTAAATATAGATTTGAATGGCACAAAGAAAACAAAATTAAACCCATATTAAGCACAGACCCTATGTTCTGTTCCTGTGGTTGGGAACTTGACCTTGGTTAGCAAATGGTCTCCATCCTACAACTATATGAACATTTAATGGATGGACAAACACATACAAGTTTAACATTTAACAACAAAAATTAAAGTCCAACTTGTTAGTGCATCCCGTCTAATGAATTTACATGTCGGCCCAAGAAAGAAAGGAAAATGTTCAGTAAATGGGCTATGACTAAGGAGTTAGAATAAAATCATGTTCTTTTCAATTTTGAGGGAATATTGGCTGAGACAGAGAACTTAGCATCCAGGAAAAAATAATGTAGTAGTATCAGGTAATGTATTATTGGTGAGTGCTCTATCAATATCATGAATTTCTAAGAGTAACGTGTGTAAGGCGAAGCTGTATTTGAAATATGCACAATGGAGAGAATGTTGGAATACCTCTGTTACTTTCATGTGTTGCTCAAATTTCTTTGCACATTGTACTTGCAGAAAATGTACTTGATCTAAGAACACAGTTCACCAAAATGATTGCTCCCATGTACTC